GCTCGCCGCGCCCCTGTCCTCCGCTGAGGCCCCGCCCCCGCGTCGCCGACTCATCCCCGTGGTGTTCCGGCCCCTCCCTCCAAGGCCTTGGCGGAGAGGGGTGGGGTTGGGCCTGCCAACTGTGTAGCTAGCTGCTCCTCTGGCTGTGCGGGTGCCTGGCAGGTCGGTTCTCCGGGCCTTTGCAGACACTTGGAAGTGTGCCCTGCCCCCGTCGCCCCTGAGCCCTTTTCAAAAGAAACTGCCATTCACAGTGCCAGTCCTTGGAGTGTGTGTTTCTATCCTTGTGAATACGATTGACTTAATTTTTCCTGAACAGTCCTCACGCCCTTTTACTTTTTCTTCTTACTAGCTTGCTGGTGGACCAGTCCCAGTATTTGTTCAGGTGCTCTGGGTAGTTGGATGCTTGCAGGCACTCATCTTCCTCCACTTACTGCCCTCCCAGAGGTGACAAGGACTCTTCCCACTTTTTCCATCTCCTGAACGTCTTCCTCTTTTTCTCTGCCCCTTTCCCAGGGCTCGCACCTGATAACATGTCCAAAGTACATGAAACAAAATTTCACCATCCTGCTTCTAATTAGCATTCTGACTGTACTTCTTCCAGATTTGTTTGTTCTTCTGGAAGCCCATGGTACTTTCTGTATTCTCCAAAGCCCATAATTGAAATGCATCGATACTTCTTATTCATTTCCCGGCTTTCACATGTATATGAGCAATGAAAAGTACCATGGCTTGGGTCAGATGCACCTTAGTCCTTAAAATGAGATCTTTGCTGTTTAATGCTTTAAGAAGGTCTTATGCAGTAGATTTGCCCAATACAAAAAAACTTTACGTGAGTTCTTGGCAGCTGCTTCCATGGACTTCAATTATGGATTCAGTAAAATTAAATCCTCGACCACCTTGTTATTTATCTTTCTACTTATCTACTAATATATATCTTTGCCTACCCACTAACAATTTATTGGCATATAGTTCACATCATACAATTCAGTATCTCAATCACATTAAGAAGAGTTGTGCATTCATCACCACAATCAGTTTTAGAACATTTTCTTCACTCTTGTGCTTATTGTTATTAGCACCCCCACTTCCCACTAACCTCCCTGCCATACCCCCAAGGAACCATTAATCCATTTACTGGCTCTATAGATTTCTTTATCCTGGGTTTCATATACAGAAAAATGTTAAATAACAAAGATGAACAATAATAACAAAGTAGAAAATCAGAAAATATTAAAAACTAGAACAAGTTTAAAGTAGAACATAAACATAGTTCAAATGATAGGGTGCTAGATTTTAACCTAACTGCATCTGCACCGATCCACTTTACAATGCATTCTGCATGTTAATAGGGCTATTCATATCCCTGGTCCATGGTCAGAGGGGATTCACCAGGGGCTTAATCCATGTGTATTTCCCCTTCACTTAAAAAAAAATAATAATAAATGGAAACCGCCTTAAATAGATCAGAAGGGAGATCAAATGACAAGATGCTGCATTTTGGCCTAATTGCATCTGCCTTAAGCAGCTTTTACAGTGCCCTCTGATAACATGGCTGTTCACATCCCTAACTGTGATCAGAGGAGATCCACAGACGCTTAATTTACATGTGGACCCTGCATTTTTTGGGAGGTGCATTTCCTCCTTTAGATTTGGATCATGTTATTTACAATCCTTGGATCACGCAGGCTGGTGTGCTTCTTCCACATGAAAGTTGAAACCTTACTTAGGTGGCTGCTTGTTTAATGCCTTTAAGACCCCAGATCCTATTTTTATGCTAGCTGGGCACCATCTAATTTCTTTCTTGTCTTTTAAAATGACCTTTTGAAAGACTACATAGGCAAAATATTGAATGATGCAGGAAGCATCAAGAGAAGACAGAGTACACAGAATCAGTAAAAAGAACTGGTCGACATTCTACCATTTCAGGAGGTAACATATGAGCAAGAACTAATGGGGCTGAAGGAAGAAATTCAATCTGCACTGAATACATTAGCCAAAAATTAGGCTCTAGGAATTCACAGAGTACCCATTGACATGTTTCAGAAAGCTGAAGAAGCATCGGAGGTACTCACTTGTTTATTCTAGGAAATTTGGAAGCTAGTTATTGGGCCAACTGACTGGAAGAGATCTATATTTGTCCCCATCCCAAAGAAAAGTGACACAGCAGAATGCTCATACTATAGAATAATATCGTTATTACACACAAGAAAAATGTTGCTTAAGATCATCGAACAATGCTTGCAGCAGTACATTGAGAGGAAACTGCCACATTCAAAGGACATGGAACAAGGGATATTGTCAGATGGAGCTTGTCTCAAAGCAGAGAACACCATAAAGATGTTTACTTGTGTTTCATTGACTATGGAAAGGCATTCGACTATGTGGACCATAATTTATGGATAACCTTGAGAAGAATGGACATTTCAGAACACTTCATTATGCTCATTTAGAACTTGTACCTAGATCAGGAGGTAGTTACGCAGACTGAATAAGGGTTTAAAATCAGTATAGTGTATGTTATGGTTGTAACCTCTTACCATACTTGTTCAGGCTGTATGCTGAACAAATCATCAGAGAAGCTGGGATATATGAAGAAGAGTTATGGCTTCAGAATTGGAGGAAGGCTTATTAACCTGTGATATGCAGATGATACAACCTTGCTTGCTGAGAGTGAGGGAGAATTGAAAACTTGATGAAGATCAAGAATGGTAGCCTTCAGTGTGGATTAAATCTCAATGTAAGGAAGACCAAAATCCTCACAACTGGAATAACAGGTAACGTGATCAATAGAGAAAAGGTTGAAGTTGTTAAGGATTTTTTGATTGGTTCCAGAATCAATGCTCATGGAAGGAGCAGTTAAGAGATCAAAAGACCCATTGCATTAGGTAAGTCTGTGCCACAAGACCTCTTTAAAGTCTTGAAGGGCAAGGATGTTACTTTGAGGACTAAGGTGCAGCTGACTCCATTGCATCATATGCATGTGAAAGTTTGACATAGAGTAGGAAGACCGTAGAAGGATCGATGGCATTTGAATTGTGCTGAAGAAGAATATCGAAAGTACCATGGACAGCTCAAAGACGAAACCGATCTGTATTGGAGAAAGTAAGATCAGAGCACTCCTTAGAGGCAAGGATGGCAAGACTTACACTTACATACTTTGGACATCTTGTCAGAAGAGACCAGTTCTTGGAGAGGGACATCAAGTTTGGTAAAGTGAAGGGCAGTGAGAGAGAAAGGCCCTCAAGGAGGTGGGCTGACACAGTGGCAGCTTCAGCGGGCTCAGGGTTAGGGGCAACGGTGAGGGTGGCGCAGGACTGTGCGGTTTTCATTCTGCTGTGCACAGGGTTGCTATGGGTCAGCCAACTGGAAGACACCTCACAACCACATCTAGTTTCTTCCCCCACTTTACCATGGCGCCCATATCTTCAGCGGTCTTCATGAGGTCGAGCATCAAGCAGTGCCATACGAACTAATTGTTCTTAGACTGGGACTAGAATAAGTGTAAGCCCAAAATCTATTCGTGCATCCGTGGTTTACCTTGGAGACATTGCTGTTATTTGATATTATAGAACATTATCAATTTTCCCCTTGGGATATTACTTCCACTGTGTGTGTGTGTGAGAGAGAGAGAGAAAGAGCGCGCAAGTGAGAGGAACCTTGTCTGAGCCTTGTGTCTGGAACCCTACCCCATGCTCGTTCCCAGCAAGTCCCATTCTGTGGGGTCTGCCCCAAGGAAACCTCCAGAGATGTGTGAGAGGTTCCACGGATGGTGGGCTTCTGCAGTGATAAGGAGGGGAGGAGAGTGGGATCTTACAAGGTCAGGTCCCCACAGCTGCACCACCTGCTGACCCAGCATCAGGAGTGCTGTGAGGATCACCCCCACTGGGTGCAGTGTCTGGGACAACTCTGGCTCAGGGGTAGGAGCCAGGACTGGAGGGAGGGGGCCAGGGTTAGGGGGGGCTTCAGAGGGGACCAGAAGTGGTGGTCACCCAGATTGGGCTGGGCATGGGGAACAGGCAAGGCTGTAGTGGGGTCAGATGGGGCCGGGTGGGGGCTGACGGGTGTGGGAGCCTTGGGGTCAGGTGCCCTGACACAGCCCCTCCTGCAGACCCCTGCTTGTACATCCCACGCTTCGCCCACCTGCTGGAGTTCGGGGAGAAGAACCACGAGGTGTCCATGACGGCCCTGCGGCTGCTGCAGCGCATGAAGAGGGATTGGATGCACACGGGCCGCCGCCCCTCGGGGCTGTGCGGGGCAGGTATGGCTACCAGGTCCTGTCACCATGGTCACCTGAATGTCACCTCGGGCTCCCACTCCTCGTGGCTTGTGGCTTTTATAGCGTAGTGTGTCCTGAGCCAGACCTGAGAGGCAACATCATGAAGCGAGGGCACTGCCTGCTGGTCCCTGGCTCCAGGGAGAGCAGGTCAGGGGTCTGGCTGCACAGGGTGGCGGGCAGAGGCAAGCTATGCTGTGGGTGTCGCGTGTAGAGGAGCCATGTTGTCCCTGGTGGTGGCTGAGTTGCTGGCCTGTGTTTGCATTCCAGCCCTTCTGGTGGCAGCCAGGATGCATGACTTCCGGAGAACCGTCAAAGAGGTCATCAGTGTGGTCAAAGTGTGTGAGTCCACACTGCGCAAGCGGTAGGTGCTCTGTGTCTGGGGGGTCTCCCACAAGGATACCCACGGGACTGCCTGGAGGCGGCCGAGCTCAGGCTACGTCTCTGGGCAACGGGCCTGCAAATGCACCCGCCCAGGTGGGGTGTCCGTGGCCCCCACCTGCAGGCCAGAAGCAGGCAGAAGGGGCTGCAACTAGGCTTTGACTTGGTGGGGCCCTGCTGGTCCTCAAGAATCCAAGTGGTCAGCTCCTTGTGGAAAGAACAAGGGCCATTGTTTTTTTTGTTTTGTTTTTTGCATTTTTAAAACAAATATTTATTGAGCATTAACCAAGAGTATGTACTGGGCATGAGCTAGGTTTTAAAAAGTTGGAAATATTTAGGTTATTCATTCAAATAAGTTATGATATAATTGAAGGAATAAAAAATTTTAAATACAATAAAAAACCAGACACTTAAGACCATCAATTGTAATAGCGTCGTCATCATTGCTCTAATAATGAATCCTTTCTTTTTTTTTTTGAAAAAGCATAAACTTTTTATTGTGAATTAGGTGGTTTGCACAGCAGGTTATAGGTTTATATTCAAAATTACCTACTAGTCTGGTTGAATTCATCTATTGCAATTTCCACATTGTACCTTTGCTTATTCCATTTCCTTCCTGTTTCCTGTTTTCTTTTTTCTAATCATTTTATTAGGGGCTCATACAACTCTTATCACAATCCATACACACATCAATTGTGTAAAGCTCATTTGTCCA